TATGCTTCATTCGATACAATTTGATATCTAGAATGCATATGTTCATTCACAATTAAATCACTCGTTTTAATTTTCGACCATCAGATGTTTTGTGTTTTCAACAAAGAATATCAATAGTTTTTCTTCATCCATAGAATGATCCAACGTTAATGATCGAACAATCGAAAAGCACGATTGTCATTTTTCTTTCATAGAATCGGTGAACAATGTCAAGTCAGTAACATTGTTTACTCGAACATTTGCTTTAGAACAGAAAGAAGTCGTGCTTGTTTAGTAAGAAATACAATAAACTTTGGCTAAAGGAATTCCGTTGATTACATTTGATCTGAGTATATTAGAAAACATTATCATTTACAATAGCTAAGCTTATAGAATAATCTAACTCTTGAAAAGAACATATAATATAATATTTGTTAACATGGTGTAACCTTCAATCAGGTTCTATTATCAGATGTAAATAGCACGCCGTTTTTCTATATCTTACATCTTGTATGTTATTGAATTTTGATCAATTCAAAACGTTCGAAAAAATCCAATCAAGCAATATCACTGAGCAAGATCGAACAGAATGAGACTTTGTCGATTCGCAAAGCTTTTTATACGCTTTAGTAAGCTTGAAAAACAAACACTCCATTGAGATATTCTTGTTGAGTTATTGATTAAAGGCTTTCGAAACGATATTAATTTAGTATAGTCTGAATCTCATTTTCTAGTGGCATGCAAAGTTCACCTCATTATAATACAAAAGACTATTCCGTACACTTTATTTTCATTGAACAATTTGCACACGTTCTTTGATTCTGACGCTACTTGTCTTGTCTGGCGATAAGAGCACAACTGCTTTTCATGATATCGTATCATAAGAATGAAACTTTTAAGAACAACAGTTTTTATTTCTCTTTATACAAGGATAAATGCATTATCTGTTATAATGTCTCTCTCATAGTTTCATTTTAATTGCTTCTACAGCACGATGTAGGTGTGAGGGTGTGGGTGCTAACTTCCTGCATTCGTTCAAATTCTATACACCCACACCCTTTCTTTGAGAGAAAAATGGTCTTTCGGATCTTCTTGCTAAAATGATATCAAGTTGGGCTCGTACTGACCGATTTTGTCTATCACACTTTTGTTTTCATATCAGATAATTGTAATGTTCACAATAAGCATACAAATCAGAGATATTTTAATCAAAAATAATCCAAATTGTAAATGGTTCTGCACTTCTCATAGATCGTGTTGATAAGAACTGCTTCTATGATTCTTCCAAGGTGTAATATCAATAAGAAATAATTTTCGTTATAAATCTGAGAAGTTAATTTTCTTGTCAGAAAAAAATGTATTGTCAAATATTGTTTTTCCATCAGATCGCTAACTATATTCAATTGAGAAGAAAATGTCTATTATCAAGACGAAAAAATTAAACAGACTCAAATAATGATTTGTTACCTTCTTGAATCCACTGCATATAATATTAAAGATTTGACTATCGATGAAATAATTACTTTTTTTTCCTCATTTTGACGTACACTTATTCCAATGGTCAATAACTCCAGAGCAAACGAAATAATGTGTGTATACCTTGCGAAATGCAGACAATTAATCGAATATGTTAAAGAGGAATTAATGAAGAAGATTTTTCGTTCAGTAGATGCAGCTGCTATAACACGACGAAATAATGAACTTTTCCGCGAATGACATTTCCCATGAGAAAATAAATAAAATTTATTTGATTTAATGGTATGAACTTTCCTTACGGAAACTTTTATCAAATATGATGATCATAATTAATAATAACACGAACTACCCCTGCGATAAGATCAATATGTATGACAACATAAACGACGATATTGAGATACATATTATAAAAAAAATATTTGTATTCTACTATATCACAAGATAAGCATCATTTTCTCTAGATGAACTAATATTTCATTTCATGTTTCTTGACTGTGAGATAAGTTATACTTATATTTAATTCAAATTTTAATTTAACAAAAAAATAAAATAAATTGAAAACAATTTACTGATTATTAGTTTGATTAAATTTGAAAATTCTAAATTTTCTTTCATTCTAATAATTATCTGAATTGAAGTTCAAAGAATACGTTCTTCAAGTGTCATAGATCATACATCTAAATTAAGAACGTTTTAAAAATATTCTCTCTTGATTAATTGACTCAATCTATCGGATCAATAAATAAACGTTTAATATCTGTAAATAAACATTGTTCTGTTATTTCATTAGTTAATATATAGTTTTCACTGACAATGCCTAACTAAATAATAATCAATTTTGAAAATAAAATTTTAAAAAAATTGTTTGTTACATTATTAAGTTGGTTCACCACTATTGACAAGAAGTACACGCTTATGTGTTAACTCATGAATTTCTTCAACAACAATCATCTCATTGAATAAACATCTTCGAAACTTATTTTTTCAGGATTTTACAATTATTTTCGATGTTTATTGTAACATTAAGATGGAGAAAGCAAGACTGAGCATGAGAGTTTGGAACCTGACTGGAATAAGAACTCAATCTTCAGAAGTATTATTTTATTTTCGCACACTACGAATACATTTTATACAGTCAAAAGATAAAAGCAAAACTTTCAATAAATTCCAAAAATATAAATCGTGTTAGTTCTTCGGTTGCTAATGAAAGTTTCAGTAAGAATTCGGATTATACTATCAACGAACATCAATAGCAACATTCGCTTGTCTGTCAGATTGGGCCTACACACACTGAAAAGTAAAAGAGATTGGTAGATATGTAACCAATCACATGAACTGTCGCTGCAGCAACAAGACAGATGCTTACACCTTTTTTTGCTTTTGCAGTTCAAATCAAGTTTCTCGTTTAAATGCTCTTTAGCTTGTTTTTCTATTTAAAAATTTTCCGCTATTGTTGCTGGTCGGTGCGTTGGTTTACACCTATACAGACTAGCACATGCCGTCGTCGAGAACGAAGCGAATCAAAGAATTAATTGACTTCACCAATTGGTAAAGATACTTGCTGAGAAAGTCGCATTATGCTGGTTCAGTTGTTCGATAAAACGATTTTACAAATGATGTGGATGTTAACTTGAGTCTTCTCTTCACTCTCATACACACTGAGATGAACACCCACCCATACTCTCTATTGAATTGATGCTAATGCGAACGGAATTAGTATCAAGTACCCGTTAGATCCCAAATTATCTATTCATGTTATGGATATTCGATCGATAACAAGACCTATTTACATGCAATGCAGAAACGAAATAGAAAGAACTGAAAATCGCAAATGTTTGTCTGCAACATTATGACGATAGATGATCAAAAATTTTGCGTTTCGGTTTCTTTATTTCTGCGAATCGAACAATCATTGAATTGAAAGTGCATTGAGTGTCTTGCCTCTGGTAATTTTTATTTTCGCTGAATTCTTTTTTTCGTCGATGATGTTTTTCACCGATTTCAACATCGTCAAATGAATTCATAAACGAAAAACAGTTACGATGAATATGGGTGTGTCAGTCAATGTGCTTGTATGTGAGTGGCTACGGATGAGTATCTAAATGGAGAGAAGAATCAAACCTAGACCTAAATCGACACCGACGACCTCAGTTGAGTATCGAAGCAAAATTGTCGTATTCGAAATTAGCTACTCAACAAACTTGGAATTTTTCGAACACCTATATGAAACAAGCACGAACTTTGGTTTTGTAATTACTATATAGATTGAAAACTATTTCACTATCAATTAGGATGATACAAGATAGGATTTCGACGAGAAAGAGTCTTTTTCTTATTGATAATCTCTGACAGTAAGATAAAAGTGCCCAAGTATGGTTAGGAAGTGAATGATCAAGATAGAAGAGCATACTCGTTTAGATCGAGTTAACATTTATTCAGAAAAGTTTCCCATCGAAGCTATATCATTTGACTTTCTTTCTACGTTTACCGACAGTGTAGTAGGCGAGAAAATGATCTACAATCAGTAAGCATGTTTTCTGTTCAGTCATTCACAATCATCTTTCATACTATTTCTTCATTTTAGAACAATGAGTCGAGCAGAATACTGACTGAATGTAAAACTAGTGTCAGAGCAGAAATATAGGCATGATCTTCCCAATAATTACTATTTGACAATACAACAAAATCTAAAAGCCATTCGAATAATTATGCATAGCCCAAAGATACGATACTCTGCTACTATTAGCGATTAAGAGTGCAAACAGCAAAGACACATTTACATATCAGATATTCGAAGAAAGGATTCAATCATCATTGAAAATAAAAATCAATACTCAACTATAAGCAAAATATTGGATAGCTCGATTGAGTTACAACTTTTTTAAAACTTGAGACAAAAACAAGATTTTTGCGTATTCAGAAACAAAGTTACCAGCATAAAAATGATTTTACTAAATCAACTTTAACGTTTTCAAAAAGTGAGAAGCGCAATTGAGAACCAAAACTCTGGAAGAGTGAGATTGCTGATGTAGAGTGAAGATAAGATTTGCACCCACACACTGTAAAAATAGAACTTAAAGCTTCTCAACATAATTTTACCAAGATCTCAAATCCTGTATGATCTTATGAAAGTTCTCTTAGCAATCGAATGTGAATTTACCTATTTTATTTTTATTTGGTGTATGTGCCAGTCACTTCACTTGTTTCTAAGTGTCGATGGCGACGGTAGAATGTAAAACGAGTCAGTAGCAGAGAATATTTTTCTTCTTCCTACAAAAAAAGAAAAATAAGTCATTCTTTTATACGATGAGATGAAAAAGAGTTGTTGATTGTTTACTCGAGATAACCATGCGACTCGTGAATACGCAAAAAAAAGGTTTTTTACAGTGGGAAATTTGTTTTAATCACCTTTTTCTTCTTCTCTTTCTGTTCTGCAATTCGAATGATAAGAACAATCATTTACAAAAAAAGAGAGACGTGTGTGTGCTGCGTCGAAGTGTGTTGAGTGATTTTTCTTCCTAAATTTATATCTTGGTCGCTTTAAAATGGCTACAAGTAATGCATTTCATCGATTTATACAAGTTGAATGGAAAGATAGAAATTTTTTACCCATCGATGGATTAGAAACAAATGAGAGCCCTACAACTATAACACAAGCTCTCCAACGAGCAGGTAACCATACTCATAATGTGGAGACTTATGTAAAAGATGCTGAAAAGCGTTTCAACGGCAAACACCTAGGTGAACTTACGTACGATGAATGTGCTGCTGTGTTTGCATACACCAAAGAAATAGGTGGAGAGAGTTTATATGCGTCATTGAATCAAGCATTATGTTCTGCAGATAGGAAAGCACTCAAACCATGGCTACCATTTGTTCGGTTATTCTATTCTGCAATTAAAAAATTGCCTGATCTTCCGACAGAATGTTTCAGAGTTGGCAAAGCTGAAATGTTAGATCAAATCCAACGAGAACAACGTATTACTTGGTCTGGTATAAGTTCTTGTTCAAGAGCGCCAAAATTGATTGCAAAACAGTGTCGTGATCAAAAATCAGTACTCTTTGTAATCACCGCTATACATGCCAAAGATATTTCTAAATATTCAGCTGATTCTGATGTGAAAGAAGTACTTCTGATGCCAGGCACTCGTCTGAATGTGTCGCATATCACACGAGATGAGAAAAATAATAACTTAATGTTGGTATATTTACAAGAACTAAACACCGAACAAAACGAAGCAGGAATATCTACTCAGATGAAACCCGGAAGTTCATATAAAACAGAAGCATCTGGTGAGTATCGACTTTTCTATTCCTAGACTAGATTCTAAAAAACGGCCAAACTGATTGAATTATAGTTCTTCACCCTTTTTTCGTCGATTACATTACAGTATCTCTTTGTCTCATTCTATAAATAAAAGATTGGTCCACATAAGAAACTATTTTTGAAATTCTTACGCAACTGAAAACATTAGGCCATTATGTTTCACAATTTAATATATCATAACCCACAGCTTTTATTGATTAGAAATCATTTTTCGAAACTATTCAAGTCAGTATCAAGAATAAGCTTTTCATACAAAACTTTGCTTTTATAGAAAAGTCAATTCTGTATGTACGTACGCTGGGAAGCCTCCTAATATCCTTGTAGACTTCCAAAACAAGTCGATTCTTAACAGAGAATACTTTTTGAAAGAACAAAACCTCGGTATGAAAGCGGCTGATGGAAATATTGAAAATGTTTATCCGAAATCTATGGTTTAAGACTTTAGTATAGTCTAACAAAAGATCAAATAAGAAAGGCACATACTTTGTGTAGAGTAGAATGAACAAGAGTGAGTTTCACTAAAATACTTCAAATAAAAATTGAAAATTATGACAATTATCAAAAAGTAATTCAATTTGAAAGAAAGCATGCTTGTAATTGCGAGGAATATATGGTATTATGATCCTATGAAGTCAAGTAGTACTCGACTGTTTGTTCAATAACTGGACGCCGAATGACTTGCTCTTCCGAACAAGTTTACCTTAGAACGATTCAACAGTACTTGAAAGGCACATAATAAAATATAGATATTCGTTTTCTGTATTTTAAACAAAAAGTTTCTTAAACTAGTAGTCAAATGCAAGATTGCTGTTCATGCGGTTGTACAAGTGCAATGGGTGAACCAAACACCGAATTCGGATTTACTTTGGGTGCCCCGCCTCAAAAACTGATTTTAGCCCAAGAATGTTGAATAGCCATGAAATTTTCAGGATATGCTAGGGTCTTTACTAGAAAAGCTATGGTAAAATTTTCAGCCTGATATCATGACGTTGGATGGAGATAGTAGCCAAACAAGGGTAAAAAGTAGTACATCTGGCAAAGCACATTTCTCTGTGCAGGGTTATTCTATATATTTAGTTTGTTTTTTTGTTTGAAGGAGCATGTCAGGATGCAGTACAGTACAGCTCTCTTTTTTTTTAAACTCTTACTTTTTAAGGGGAGAAAAGGGATCGAAAGTTCAATGACTCAAAAAACTCTCTTTAAAGAATGCTGCAATTATATAAATGTTTGTATATATAATAAAAGAAAAATTTAATCAAAAAATATCTCTGTACTGCACTGCGTCCTGATGTGCTCTGTGAAACAAAACAAAAGTTACATATATATCTAGAATTAGTATCGACTGACAAAATTTGGATCATGCGATCAAGAAACTATAAACGGAGAAAAAACGAAAAAGATTTTTTGGTTTTTTCTGCAAATAGCTTACTTTTTGAATAGGGTATGACAGAAATCGTCAACAATTTTTGGAAAAAACGAGGTGTTGAGTAAAAATTTTTGTCATTTATGAAAGATCAGACCATCGGCTATCTCTCCATGCATAAATCTTAATTTCGACCACTCTGACAAAAAGTAACTTTTTTCAGGGGGTCTTAACATATTATGATAGATATATTCTGTAATTTTTAATTGAATCTAAATCTACTTGATTATTAAAGTAAGAAAGCATGTTGACTGATAGAGCTCTACCTAGGCTACAGAGTCATCATATTGAATCAATATTCACTTGTTCCATAAGAGTGCGAGAGCTCAAATATTTCCCTAATTGCATTATATATGCATTCGAAAAGCAATAGATTTGGCCTGTTGATGGGCAAAGCACTAGATTGTAGAATGAATCTTAGATCAAGTATAGGAAGGATATAGGTGAGTGAAGGTAAAGGGAAAAGCAGCATAGTTACTAATCTCACTCATGCTCACACCTACATCCTCGTATATTAACCGTATCAACAATGCAACGAACATTTTATTTTATAAAATAAAAAATTCTCCAAACAAAACATTTTATATGAGAGAAAAATAGGTGCATGAAATTATCAGTGTATTTATCTATATATGCTAGTAATAAATCATTTGCTAACATTTAATGAGAATACTGCACGGATAGACTTTGATACAATCAATATACTTTATGGTATGACTGCCTTGTTCAATGATAAAACCTTGTCGGTCTTTTCTTAAGTTGAAATGTGTTTTAAACAAAAACATTTAGAACCCATTTATCAATCAGAGCGATTTAAAATGATCGATTACGAGAACAAGCAAACGAAACCCGTCTACGACAATTCGACGTATCCTAATCTAACACTCGACGAAGCTGTTAAGTACATACCGAAAAATATTGAACATTTGGATACTCTCCTACAGCAGGCTAAAATTCGTTATGGTAATAATTCAGATGAGATGGCTGCTGTACAGTTATATGTAATGGAATGGGGCAATGAACCTTTGTGTAAATTACTTAATGAAGCACTTAAATCTAACCATCAAGACAAACTGAAACCTTGGCTTCCTTACTTCCAGCTATTTCGAGCTGGTGTTGAACGGTTTCCTTTATTTAAGAAAGAATGTTGGTGCGGCACCGATACAAATATAGGTAGCAACTTCAATAAAGGTCAAATCGTCACTTGGCAGGGAATTACTTCATGCTCGAGATCTCAGGATTTCATCCTTAAACATTGCGTTGGCACAAGTGGAACACTTGTCAAGGTCAATGCTACCAATGGCAAAGATATTTTCAACAACACACTTGATCCCAACACGCGAGAAGTTATTTTGATGCCTGGAACTACCCTGGTTGTAAAGAGGGTGGCTTTGCATCCAAATAATAGTAAGATCACTCTCGTAGAGCTCGAAGAAATAGTTGACAAAAAGTATGAAGGATTGACACAAACTGTCTCGAAACCACAGGCTTCATCATCCGCCAACGGTCCTAGTAAGTACTACTTTTTGCAATCCGACTAATACTTGATGATGCTCACTTTTTTCCGTTCTTTGATAACCCGAAACCTCAGCATTGAGCAAAGGAACTATTTAAAACTGAAACATATAAAGCCAGTATTGGCGAACGAAAACAAAACAGATTGTAGCTCTACGAATGATGAAAGCTAAGGAAACTTCGGTTAGTTTTCTTAGGTTTTGATCTAGATAATAAGTTCTCTAGAAGATGCGATGCATAAAATTATTCATGAAATAAATTTGTTTTTATTTTGACACTTATCGATTGATTCGATCGAATATGGGATTGTTAAGAATTTTGGCTTTGAACTTTAGATTCATCTGTATCGAATTCAAATCAACATGCTGCTCAGACTTCTTCTTCAACGAAATCTACCGATACGTCTAACGAAACTAAACCTTCATCGAAATTAAAGTATGACGATAATCAACATCCAGCACATCCAAGATCCGGTACGTGGATACTTCTACCGAAATATTGATAATGTTAGATTCTTTTTTTGAATGCCAACATTGCTTTGCCTTTAATTCGTCATCAGCTCAGAATAGAAAGGAAATAAGGCAGAAAGTTTTAGCATAACTAAATCGAGGAGTATTGTGAACACAAACTAAAAGCGAAATTGATTATTCAGCGGAGTAGCTCTTTAAAAATCTTTACTGAGAACAAGTAAATTAAATAGTATTTATATTTATCATAACAAAAACAGCAAGCTTCAATTGCAACTGAACGTTCAATATTTGTAAGAGTTAGTTCAATAGTTTACAGTAAGATTTGGCTAGAATTGGATGGAATGAGTCTAAGTATGTAACTTTGAAAAGATTATCTTAGAACAACTATTTGTTTTGAAAAAATCTAGTTAAAATATTATTCGAGTCTTGACGATAGTCCCAATCAATCATATGCGCTCCTGTCAATTCAAAATATTTTGTCCACGAAAACTAAAATTGGTGCATATTCTAAGAAGATCAGAAAAAACTTTAAAATGATAGCCTGTATAGAACAGATCATGTTCTAAAATTTATATACCAATAAAGATTTCAAATTTTAAAAAGTTTTGCTTCTTTTTTGAATGATGAAAATAAGAAAAAGAATCGAAAAATTGCTAGTCAAAACATGTAGAGAGACTTTTTAAAGAAGTTCTCATCCCTCTAAAGCTAAAGTTGATTTTTTAATGAATGAAAAAATTTGAACAATTATGTAGTCTAGAAATGTTTCGGTTCACTCAGTAATAGAAGAAGGATTTTATTTGTTTGACTTCACAGTATTTATATTCATTATTATTTTACTTTGTGGTTGTCAAAATATTGCACTTCTGAAACTTCCAGTAACCTCTGATATCTCTACACAGATCTCTATTAAATGCTCTCAGACTTATCGCTAATAGTTTCTATGAAACCGACTATTAAGAGAAATCATTTGAGCCCGTCAAGAAATACGATAACCGAGTAAAAGTTTTTTTTTTAAACTACTCTTATTGGATTTTTTTGCACAAAATTAGGTGCACTAGTTTCTTTATAGCCTCCAATGTATTGTAGTTTTTGAAAAAATTGCTTTTGTTTAAAAGTACTGTCAGAAATTCTTAAAAATTCAGTAGAAACACTATTTAGTGTCTAAAAACCTACAATTCTTGTTCAATTTTCGAGCAACATCTCATTTGAAAGAGCATTAAAAACTGAATAAAAACATGATTTTTATAAAGATTTTAAAGTTGACATTTATGAATGGAGTTTTAAATTTTCAAAATATGAAATTTCCAGTTTTTTTAAAAATTTTGACATCTTGCAACGCCGGTAACGTAATGTAACTAAATGCGTTTTTCAGGCATACTAATTCTGCAAATAGATGGAAAAAAAATTATTCAGAAAAAAGTACACGTCCTATCTAAAACTCATTTACCGAGAGAAGAAGTCAAAATAGAACCTGAACAGAAAGCATCTGAGAACTTTTTTTTTCTTTTGCAATGTAGCCAAGATGAAAGGAAACTTGATATTCGTAATAAGCATGAAAAGCGTGTGGGTGTCACAGAATAGAAAACGCTTAAGTGCTCTAGAAAAGTTGATGCAGAAAACAATTCATGGCATCAATTCGTTTTTTTTATTATGACAAATCTCCAGTGATTTAATCGAATGTGACATTGTTAAGAACTTTAACTTTCAATTTTAGGTTCATATGCATCTTCATCGAAACATGAAACTAATCCAAATTTTCGGACGAAATCAGCAGATAACTATGACAAAACTAAATCTTCATCGAAATCAAAGCACGATGATTATGAAAATGCAGCACATGCAAGTTCTGGTACGTTGATAGCTCTACCCAAGTGTTGATACAGTTAAATTCTTTTTACTTGTCTGAGCGTCAAAGTAACTGCTTTGCCTAGAAGTCGTCATCGATTCAAAACGAAAACCAAATAAGCGAGAAAGTATCGTGCCAACAAAAGCATGATTGATTACTTGTTAGAGTACCTTTTTATAAATCTCTATTGAGACCGTGTGCATTAGATAAATCCTATATTCATTATAACAAGAATATTAAGATTCAATAGCATGTGAGTGTTCAATCTTTCTAAGAGGTGGTTCAAAAGTTTGTAGGTAAAACGTTCGCTCTTTTGAAAATAGACGAAAAGCCATTCTCAAGAGTAAAATAACTATGGATGAGAATCTAAATTGTCTACTAGTTTCGAAGTTGAGATTGGGAATGTGGCGCCAGATTTTCCTCTGCAATATTGGAAAAATTTTGAACGATCCTAAGTAACGAAATAAGAAGGATCGGCTGTAATCGACTTACGTCATCTCGAAAAGATTAGCTTAGAAAAGCTTTTTATTTCATCACTCCTATTAATTCAAATTCTTTTGGAATTAATGAAAGCGAGAAAAGGAATCAAAAAATTGTCTGATCCAACATGTTTAATGCCTTTCTAAAGAAGTATTCATCCTTCTAAAACTAAATTTGATATTTTTATGAATCAAAAAAATTTGAAGAATTATATAGTCTAGGAGCGTTCCGTTCACTCACTAATAGAAGAAGAGTTTTACTTGTTCGACTTCATAATATTTATATTCATCACCTTATTACTTCGTAAATGTCAAAACTATTACATTTCTGATTACTTCTAGTCGCCTTTGATATCTCTATAAAATGTTGTCTGACTTATTGCTGATAGCTTCTATGAGATTGACTATTACGTATGTAGTACCTGAGCATGGTATTTTTTGTTCAGAATTAAATTAAATAATATGAAAAACAAAATTACCATAGGTCACATCTACACTGTGATTATTCGACTCACTGACGTCGACTGTGAGAATCAGACATTAAAACCTATCGAAGGTTATCAAAATAAGCGGAATTCAACACTGGAAGAAGCTCTCAATCCGATTAAAAATGTTATTCCTTGCTTGGATAATTATATACGACATGTAAAAAAACGTGCCAACACGACTTCCTCAAATAAACTTACTGTTGACGAATCGGCAGCTATATATTTGTACACTATGCAGCTTAATAACGAAAGTTTCAGTCGTATGCTTAACCGAGTATTGCGATGTCA